TTGTGGCCACTACTGAATTTTCCAAATTTGCCAGCATATTGAGTGCAGGACTTTCACAGCATCATCTTTCAGGATTTGAAATAGCTCAACTGGGATTCCATCACATCCACTAGCTTTGTTGGTAGTGATGCTTTCTAAGGCCCACCTGACTTCACATTCCAGGATGTCTGGCTCTAGGTGAGTGATCACATCATTGTGATTATCTGGATCGTGAAGATCTTTTTTTGTACAGTTCCTCTGTGTATTCTTGCCACCTCTTCTTAATATCTTCTGCTTCTCTTAGGTCCATACCATTTCTGTCCTTTATCGAACCCATCTTTGCATGAAGACTACATCATGTGAAATCCTGGGCTGGATGAAGCTCAAGCTGGAATCAAGACTGTGGGGAGAAATATCAATAACCTCAGATATGCAGATGACATCATCCTATGGCAGAAAGTGAAGAGGTGCTAAGCTTCTTCATGAAAGTGAAAGCTAGTCGCTCAAGGGTCTGACTCTCTACAACCCCTTGGACTGTAGCCCACCAGGCTCCTCCATACATGGGCTTTTCCAGGCAAGAGTACTGGAGTGGGTTGCCATTTCCTTCTCCAGAGGATATTCCCCACCTAGGGATCGAATCTGGGTCTCCAGCATTGAAGGCAGATGGTTTACCATCTGAGCCACCAGGGAAGTTTGGTGAAAGTGGAAGAGCTGGCTTAAAACTCAACATTCATAAAACAAAGATCATGGCATCCGATTCCATCACTTCATGGCAAATAGATGGGGAAACAATGACAGATTTTATTTGTTTATTTTTTTTTCATTTATTTTTATTATTTGGAGGCCAACCATTTCACAACATTGCAGTGGGTTTTGTTATACATTGACATGAATCAGCCATGGAGTTACATGTATTCCCCATAGATTTTATTTTCTTGTGACTACATCCATGAAATTAAAAGACCCTTGCTCCTTGGAAGAAAAGCAATGACCAACCTAGACTGCATATTAAAAAGTAGAGCTTTATTTTGCCTACAAATGTTCATATAATCAGAGCTATGGTTTTTCCAGTAGTCATGTATGGATATGAGACCTGGACAATTAAAAAGGTTGAATGCCAAAGAATTGATGCCTTTGAACTAGAGAAGACTCTTGAAAGAGTCCCTTGGACTGCAAGGAGATCAAACCAGTCAATCCTAAAGGAAATCAACCCTGAATATTCATTGGAAGGACTGATGCTGTAGCTGAAGCTTCAATACTTTGTCGACCTGATGCAAAAAGCTGACGCATTGGAAAAGAGCCTGAAGCTGGTAAAGGCTGATGGCCAGCAGAGAAGGGAATGGCGACAGGGATGAGATGGTTGGATGGCATCACTGACTCAATGGACATGAGTTTGAGCAGGCTCCGGGAGATGGTGAAGGACAGGGAAGACTGGTGTGCTGCAGCCCATGAGGTTGCAAGGGTTTGGACATGACTGAGTGACTGAACAATAACAACGACAACAATATCTAGAATAAAGGATTCTCAAAACTTAACAGTGAAAAACAATATAGTTAGGAAGTGGGCAAAAATCATGAATTAACTGAAGAGCACATATAAATGGCAAATAAGCACAAGAAAAGTTGTTCAACATCATTAATTATTAAGGAAATGCAAATTATGACCACAAGCTATTACTGCACACTTATTAGAATGGCTAAAATAAAAAATGGTGACACCATCAAATTCTGGCAAGAATGTGGAAACCCTCATTAGGTGAACACTGTGATACATCCGTACCATGGAATATAACTCAGCAATTAAAAGGAAAAGACTGTTGACATGTACAAAAACTTGAATGGATGTCAAAGAAGTTATGCTGAATGAAAGAAATCTAATATCCAAAGATTTTACTGTATCATTCTATTTATATAACAGTTTTAAAATGACAAAGTTTTAGAAATGGAAACCAGATTAGTGGTTGCCAGGGCTGAGGAATAAGGAGATAGCCAAGAAAGAGATGGGTGTGGCTATAAAAAATTCCTTGTGATGATGGAATTGTTCTGGATTTTGACTGTGGCAGTGAATACACCAGCTTACATATATGATAAAACAGTACAGAACTGACTAAATTCACACACAAGTATAAACATTTGAGTAACATGAGTGGGTTGTATCAACATCATTCATTTAGTGGCTCCTTAGGAGATGAATGTTGGTTCAGCCATTTATTTTTTGTAAATTTTTGGCAAGTGTTAACATTTTTCAGTCAAAATTACTTATGGAACTTGCTTGGCACAGAGTAAGGGCTTAATAGATAGAAGTGAGAATTCAAAATTGTCTTCCAGTGGATGTTTTAAATTGCTGTTTCCCTTAACTAATATTTAGTAATATCTTGAATTCTCTTTCTAATTTAAAGCGAATTCATGGTGAATGTGTTTGTTTTCCTTCATTTCTGGTAAGGCTGAAATTTGGTTGTGCTGTGATCAGTATTACACCATAATTTACACAGCCCTGGAGAGAGTCAGCACTTTGGATTTTGAACACTTAAAAAAACTCTTTACCTGCCACTGAACTTGCTGGGAAGTTCATTTTCAGGCATTTCCCAAAATTCATTGTCTTCTTTTAATAAACATCAGTATATTTCCAGTTATTACTTACATTAAAGATGGAAATTATGCAGGTAAACCCTTGTCTTTTGCTGCCTTTGTCAGAGATATAACACAGGACTGGATGTGTCTTTTGGCTGATAAAATACATTCTGAATATTCTTAAGATCTTCTGGAACCTTTCTCTCTTCATATTTAACCACTCCTGACCACTTCACAGTCTAGTGCATGATTATTCAGGACTTCAGGCACTACTCTTCCCTCTTCTAACAGATTAGAAAGACACCAAAGGGTGACTTATTAAGTGTGTTAGGTAAATCAGCAATAACTACAAGGAATGTCTTGCTCAAATATTGTCTGATTACTATTTTCAGTTCAGTTCAGTCACTCAGTCATGTCCGACTCTTTGCGACCCCATGGACTGCTGCACTCCAGGCTTCCCTGTCTATCACCAACTCCTGGAATTTACTCAAACTCATGTCCATCGAAATGGTGATGTCATCCAACCATCTTACCTTCTGACATCCTCTTCTCCCATCTTCAATCTTTCCCAGTATCAGGATCTTTTCAAATGAGTCAGTTCTTCACATCAGGTGGCCAAAGTATTGGAGTTTTACCTTCAGCATCAGTCCTTCCAATGAACACCCAGGACTGATCTCCTTTAGGATGGACTGGTTGGATCTTCTTGCCATCCAAGGGACTCCTAAGAGTCTTCTCCAACACCACAGTTCAAAAACATCAATTCTTTAGCACTCAGCTTTCTTTATAGTCCAACTCTGACATCCATGTATGACTACTGGAAAAACCATAGCTTTGAATAGATGGACCTTTGTTGGCAAAGTAATATCTCTGCTTTTTAATATGCTGTCTAGGTTTGTCATAATTTTTCTTCCAAGGAGCAAGTGTCTTATAATTTTATGGCTGCAGTCACCATCTGCAGTGATTTTAGAGACCCCCCCAAATAAAGTATGTCATTGTTTCCCCATCTGTTTGCTATGAAGTTATGGAACCAGATGTCATGATTTTAGTTTTCTGAATGTTGAGTTTTAAGCCAATTTTTTCACTCTCCTCTTTCACTTTCATCAAGAGGAGCTTTAGCTCTTCTTTGCTTTCTGCCATAAGGGTGGTGTCATCTGCATATCTGAGGTTATTGATATTTCTCCCTGTGATCTTGATTCCAGCTTGTACTTCATCCAGCTCAGCATTTCTCATGATGTACTCTGCATATAAGTTAAATAAGCAGGGTGACAGTATATAGCCTTGGTGTACTCCTTTTCCTATTGGGAACCAGTCTGTTGTTCCATGTCCAGTTCTAACTGTTGCTTTCTGACCTGCATACAGATTTCTCAGAAGGCAGGTCAGGTGGTCTGTTATTCCCAGCTCTTTAAGAATGTTCCAGAGTTTGTTGTGGTCCACACAGTCAAAGGCTTTGGCATAGTCAATAAAGCAGAAATAGATGTTTTTCTGGAACTCTCTTGCTTTTTTGATGATCCAACAGATGTTGGCAATTTGTTCTCTGGTTCTTCTGCCTTTTCTAAATCCAGCTTGAACATCTGGAATTTCACAGTTCACATACTGTTGAAGCCTGGCTTGGAGAATTTTGAGTTTCACTTTGCTAGTGTGTGAGATAGTGCAATTGTGTGGTAGTTTGAGCATTCTTTGGCGTCGCCTTTCTTTGGAAGAGTCACATTTTCAGGCCCATTTATGTTCCTGAGTCTTTTCATGCTTGTCTTTCCCCACTGGGCTTTAGAACTTCAGGAAGGAAAAACTTTCTCCAACAGGTTCTGTTTTCTAAAATTCCATCCTGCTGTTGGCAGTCCAGACTAATAACCAGAGTGACAACTTCCCTAATAGTGTTTCTCAGGAATGGCTTCCTCTCACACTAGTATCCAAGCTCCACTGGACTTAATGTTCAGCTTGAGCCAGCTCAAGTTTTGCTTTGAGAGTTGTGGAGACTTCCACTCTGAACCAAAGTGCTTTTTTAAAAAAAAATCTCTTATTTATCTTGCCACTCAGAAATTAATCATTTACATTTCAAGAGAGCAATTTCCAGTCCTAGCACACACACACAAAAAGATTGGGGTTACGGTTTGTAAATACTCTCAGAGTTCTAAATACTCTCGAAAGTCCCACTGACTTGTGGCGTCAGATCTTGATGATAGTATTGAGGTCTCTAGTGCCCTTTGACTCGGCTGATTGCAAAAGTCCCCGTTCTGCCCTGTTCCACTCAGCTTCTTCCTAACGGAGGAGGAAGAAGCTCTCAGTTCAGAGTTTTGACCTGTGTTTTTTTTTTACCCTGGGGTTTTGCTGACTATTGTGCAGCTGAACTCATTTGGAGAGTGCTGCTCCTACTTCATTCTCTTCCTTCCAGATATTTTCAGGTGCAACCTGTGATCTTTGAGCTTCCACTGGTCACAATTGTCAACACTCACCATGAAGCCTGTGTCAGGGAGAAAGTCCCCAGTTCTGTACCTCCTTGGGATTCTGACCGTGCTCCTCTGCCCTGATGGCTTACAAGGTGAGTAAAATAGTTGCGGGTTCTCAGGTCCCAGAAAAGCCATTAGAACAGTGTTCAATGGCAAGCAGGTAGTTAAACCAATAAATTGAAAATATTTTCATCCCATATTAGGAATTTTAAAAGTATGATCAAATTGAAATGATTTATATTACTTTGTGGGAGGTATAATAACTTGTTTTACTAATGTCAATTTCAGTTAACAAATTGCTTTACCAATGTTATAATAAATAGTTTATTAACTTCTATTTTATTAATGGAACAACTGAATTCCCAAATATTTTCAAAATGTTTTAGAACTTTTAGATTTATATTATTATTAGAGAAACAGCTGTTTTGTTTGAATTCCTGGGAGTTTACTCTAGTAAACAGATAATGAATTGTGGCAATGAAATGAGCAGCATGGCGAACATGGTCAACAGTATTGTAGTAGCCTTGTATGGCGACAGATATTAACTAGATTATCACGGTGAGCATTTATAAAGGTCTTCCCTGGTGGCTCAGATGGTAAAGAATCTGCCTGCAATGCAGAAGATGCAGTTTCCATCCCTGGGTCGGGAAGACCTCCTGGAGAAGGAAATGGCAACCCACTCCAGTATTCTTGCCTGGGAAATCCCATGGACAGAGGAGCCTAGTGAACCACAGTCCATGGAGTCACAAAGAATTGGACATGACTGAACAATAGAACATGAATGCATTTTATAAGGTAAATAAATGTGCTGTATACCTAGATTAAACATACTGTTGAGGTCAATTATGTTTCAATTAAAAGAAAAGAATAAACTGCAAATAATATTGCTTTCATAATTATACATAAATATGAACTCACAAATGCTTATAAGTTATTAATTTTTAAATTAGTTTATTACCCTAAGACATAATTTTTGTTTCTAATCCATTGGCATGTTATTACCATCTATTAAGCAAAATTTAAATTGTAATTGTTACCACTAATTCTGAGAAAATTAACTAGAATCTTAAGTCATAAGTTATATGTAAAAAAGCTCTCTGTAAATGACATTTTATATATGTAAAGTTTCATTCTTTGCAGTTTGGTAATGTTTATAAATTAATCAGCATTGAGAAGATTTGATAGTACCTATAGGACTGTATGGAGAAATGTGACTAGAGCATTTAATTATGCTTTATATAAATGAAATCTGTGCATTAAAGGTGATTTTTTAAAGCAGAAAATGTGATTTCTTTTTTTCCTATTGATAACTTAAAATATGTACAAAGCTCAAATACTTATTACTCAGATTCAGCAATTATCAACTCATGGCCATTCTTGTTTTAACCATATCCACATTCATTTTTCCCACTCTCTATTTAGAAGGAAATCTTAGATATTGCTTCTGAATATTTTAGCATGTATCTCTAAAAGATAGACATTCTTTCTTAAAAGCTATCACAAACCATTATAATATTCAAAATTAAGTAATACTTACATAAAATCAAGTATCTAGTTTTCAAATTTTCCTGATTGGCTTATTTATAAATATTTTTGTAACTGTTTACTTATACAAATTAGAATCCAAGTAAGGTCTATACATCACAATTGATTTATATACCTCTTAAGTTTCTTTTAATGTATAGATCCTTTCCTTTTTCTTATATGATTTTTCTTTTGTCTAAGTTAATTTCTAAAGAGGATATGGTGGTATCATTATTTTGGAGGCTTCTTCTGCAAAAAGATGAAAATAATTGAGAGAAGACTAAAAGTTAGGCAAAAAAGTCAATATAGGATTATAAACTTCTTCAAGTGTTTGGCTAGGAATTGGACCTGATGATTTTTTAACCTATTTAGTAAGTAATAGATTCTCTTTCATGTATGTGTGTATATGTCTATGTGTGTGGTGTATTTATTCTACCAATCTTCCACATTCATCTTTGAACTTCTATTTCCATTTTGTCTAAGTCAGTGAAGAAAGGCCATATATCATTGGTCAAGAAGTCTTGTGAGTTATTCATTTATCTTTTGAATAAGCTCCTTCCTTTTTATTTCCTTAATTCCTCCATTGTTTATGGAATTGTGCCTTTAACCTAGTCTATTGTTTAAAACCTGTCATAATCTGATCCCAGCTTCATAGCCTACCTCTCACACTTGTCCCCTATGTGATTCTCTAGTTAAACTAGACTATTAACCAACCATAAATATTCCCATGTGATTTGCTCCCTCTCATTCTTGCTAACATAATTCCCCCTTAATATAAAATTCCTCTTCCATGCAGCTACCTATCCAATTCCAATTCCTGCCCCTAGGAGGCATTTTCCTGGCATATTTAATGCATGGGACTCTTTCTCCCTCTTCTTATAGTACATATTTTCTGCTTTCTTTTGACATTTGCCATACTCTGCCTGCTATTTTGACCTAACTATTTATATGCCATCCTCACTATTTTAACGAGGTTCCAATATGCCCCTTAATATTCTCCATGGAGTTTAGTGCAACAATCTTATGTCTATTGTGTTAATAAAAAATTATTTCATGTGAGCCTCAGGAAGGGCTATACTTGAGCTCTAGACTTCCTGTATAGGTAACATCACCTTCTCACAAATACCTGTTTGGGAACTGCCCTTTTCAGAGGAACATATTAAGTGTCTGTGGTGTGGAGAGGTATGAAATGTGCTCCCTGCCCTCAAGATGCAAAAGTAGAATAAAGATGTGTCCATCTACTTATCTATCTGTCAGCACAGATATACACACACATATACCCCGCAATATAACTGCCAAACCAGTGAGACAGAAAATAGAATGTCTTTAACATATCTGAAGACTTGTACTTCACTCATTGTGTGATTTATTTGCTTAGTCTTCCTATTTATACTTTACTGATTAGATTAGTCTGTTCCTTCATCTGTAAATGAGGATGACAATGACACTCAGGCAAGGTTTTTTTGCTTTTGTTTTTATTTTATTTTTTTCTATTGTAGTGGTTTTTGTCATACACTGATATGAATCAGCCGTGGATTTACATGTGTTCCCCATCCCAATCCCCCCTCCCACCTCCCTCTCCACCCGATCCCTCTGGGTCTTCCCAGACCAATACAGTATACTAACACATATATATGGAATTTAGAAAGATGGTAACGATAACCCTATATGCAAAACAGAAAAAGAGACGCAGATGTACAGAACAGACTTTTGTACTCTGTGGGAGAAGGCGAGGGTGGGATGTTTCGAGAGAACAGCATCGAAACATGTATATTATCTAGGGTAAAACAGATCACCAGCCTAGGTTGCATGCACGAGACAAGTGCTCAGGCCTTTTTTTTGTTTTTAGAATTAAATGGAATGTTGTAAGTGAAGTGCTTAACACAGGGCTTAGGGCATAGATTGATCCACCTGTTATTGCTAACAAGAAATGTAGTTCAGAGAAACCAAAGATTGTTGTGTGCCAGGGTTAGTCAGGTACATTCACAAATGTGATAATGTGATTTGTAAGAAAAAAAATATTTTTTGGTCATTTGGTCATTCAAAAAATGTGTATTTGGTCTTTGTTCAAGGTTCCTGGCTCACAGCTCCCAAAACTCTGATAATATCCTAAGTAAAGATGATGAGAAAAGTGTCTAATGAACTAACTTCGGGACCCCAACTAAAGATGGGTGCTCAAGTCACTTCAGTCGTGTTTGACTTTTTGGATTGTAGCCCACAAGGCTCCTCTTTTCCTGGGTTTCTCCAGGCAGGAATACTGGAGTGGGTTGCCATGCTGTCCTCCAGGGGATCTTCCCAATCCAGGGATTGAACCACGTCTCCTGTGTCTCCTGCATTGCAAGTGGATTCTTGACCGCTGAGCCATGAGTAAGCCCAAAGATGGGCACTGGTTGCTAATCATATGATTAGAGGGTTGGAATTATCAGTCTTACCCTCTGCCTCTGGTGAGGAGGCAGGGGTTGGAGGTTGAATCAATTGCTAATGACTAATGTTTTATTAGCCATGCCTATGTGATAAAGCCTCCATAAAACCCCCAAAAGATGGGACTTAGAGAGCTTCTGGTTGATGAATATGTAGAGGTGCAGGGAAACTGCATTTCTGGAGAGGGCATGGAAGCTCTGTTCCCCTTTCATACACTTTGCCCTTTGCATCTCTTCTGTATGGCTGTTCCTGAGTTATACCCTTTTACAATAAACCTGGTAACTGAAATATTTCTCTGATTTCTGTGAGGTGCTCTAGAAAATTCATTGAACCCAGGTTTACTCTATGGCTTTAATCTTCTATTTATAGAAGACACAAATTATGAAAGCTTTCCAAGTCCTGATAAACCTAAAGTCTGTTTCCTAAAATTATGTGTATTTACCAATGCATTAAAATTATTAACTAAATTCTCCAGGGCTTTGTGAAATTTGATATAATGTCTTTATATGGATTAATTCTTATTTCATTATAGAAGTAATTTCAGAAAACATTTTCTAACATTCTCTTATATAAAAGATGCAAAAACACCGAGTACTCTTGGGATTGATGTGTACGGAGGTGCTAAGGTATTCTGGATTTGCACAGTCCCTGCAAGTTTTCACAGAACAATGTCTCTTGATCACAAATGTTTCTTTAGTAACTTTAGTTAAAAAAAAAGAAAGACTGACTCTAAGCTTTAATTACTGAGAGTCTTCCACTGTCCCTAAGTAGCCCATTCTCTCTGTTGAGGCAGCGTATTGCCAAGACCCTGGTCTGCATGGAGCAGAACTGCACTGACTCAGTCCCTCCCTGTGTGACCTTGGGAAAGTTACTGTACTTCTCTGTGTTTCCTCATCTATGAAATGAAAAGAATAGTAACAATGCCTACCTCATAGGGTTGTTTGGGAGAATTAAATGAGTTAATATTTGTTAAATGCTTCCAGTACTGCCTGACATTTTATAGTAAATACTTATACGCATATTTTGCTATTTACACTTATTGAAAAAATAGCTGTATACAAGGTGAGGATCAGTTCTCTTTCCCTCAGATACCCTTATACATACCTCCTTGCCTTAATTTCCAGCCACATGGTAATAGAGGAGAACAATCTTTTTTTTGGTGTTTCCTTCATAGCTCAGTTGGTAAAGAATCTGCCTGCAATACAGGAGACCTGGGTTCGATCCTTGCATTGGGAAGATCCTCTGGAGAAGGAAATGGCAACCCACTCAGTATTCTTGCTTGGAGAATCCCGTGGACAGAGAAGCCTGACAGGCTACAGTCCATGAAGTCACAAGAGTTGGACACGACTTAGCAACTAAAACACCACCACCACCACATTCCTTCTTTGTGAATTATCCCAATTATCTTAAGGGCAGTGAAATTGATTGGGAAGGATAAAAGTCTTTCAATAGATCACTTTAGTTGAATGCTGTTTTGTTTAATGTGTTAAAAAGCAACAACAACAGGAATCTCTTCTCTCTCTTTCACCGTTGAAGGTTGTAGTTCACCACCTGAAATTAAACATGGAAGCTTTACATATATCGAAAAAGGAATATGGAGAACTGATGTGGTTGAGTATGAATGTCAGGAAGGATATACTCTTATTGGAGAGGCTAGAATCTCCTGCACATTTTTAAATTGGTCACCAATGGCTCCTGAGTGTAAAGGTAATCTTGGTTCCCTGGGGGCAGAATAGCACTAAGAGATAGAGCTACTGTGGAGTAACTCAGAAGTGACTCTGAAAGAAAGCGTCCCAGCCAGAGGTAGAGTTGTCACGAGCATGTGCTTGAGTCTGAGTGAGGTCCACTGTGGTTTAATTCCCACCTATCCAAGAAATGGCACTCTCAAATTCTTGTAGAGGCCAGAACCTTTCATGGGAGAGTTGACTGATAGGGTTGACCTCCTTATTGGGAAAGTGGATATTATGGCAGAATAAGGAAAATGTTCCTAAAGGTTATTTAAATCATTTCACTCATAATAAATCCAGGAGGTGAGTTACTGGTGCTATTTTTATTTTACACAAGAAGAAACTGAGGCAAGAAGAGAGGTGCCATAGGGAAAAGTGAACAGCTCAAAACAACCCCTAGGTTCTCACTTTTGCTCTGCCGCTGCAATTATGTGACGTGGGGCAAGGCATTTAATTTCCCTGGGTCTCAGTTGCCTCATCTCTAAGGTGAGATAACCATAGGGCCTCCCTCACAGAGTTGCTGAAAGCTTACATTAAATGATGTGTATATGGTGTTTGCACATAGGTGATTCCAGCCAGAGCTCCATAAATCCTTGTCAGTGCTGGTAGAAGTAGTAGAAGTAGCCTATCCGTAGCGTAGAAAGGAAAGGTAGAAGTCAGCGATGTTTTCATCCTTTTTAAATGATACTATTAGTGTTAAAATGTGTTGTATTTGAGATACTCACAATGCTAAGAAAATGTGTCTTGATTACAGCTCTATGCCCAAAACCAGAAATATCCAATGGAAAGCTGTCTGTGGAGAAGAATCAGTACGTCAACCCTGAAACTGTAACTGTCAGATGTGACCCTGGCTATAGGATGGTTGGTTCCCAGAACATCTTTTGCTCAGAGAACAAATCTTGGAGTCCGGATGTGCCCAAGTGTGAGAAGGTGAGTAACACCCAATGAATTTTATGTCATATGATACTTCAAAATAAATTAAAGGAAAATGGAATGGTTCATAAAATAGAAAAGCAAATAATATATCCTAAAGGGCTATCTCAGTTGCGGGGGGTGAATTTATAAGGGGTCTATTGGCTCTTTCCACCTTACAGTAGGTCATCTCAGGTGTGTGAACAGAAGAGTCTTATTGACCAGATGCCTAGCCTCTCGTATTTCCTTCAATAAACTGTGTGGTTTTGCTCTGTTTCCAGTTGGTCAGCAGGACTGACATGCTAGTTGTATTTTTGGGTGGTTTTGGGGGATTTCCCTCCTGCTTATACTTCCTCTATGCTTGACACTGATGCTGATTGTTATTTGAGAACAGATACAGACTGAGGTCTCAGGGAAATATTTTTCTAGGATCCAGAGTATTTTCTGGAGTTTCCTAACCATCATCGGTCCTGGGGTTGTTCTGCATCTTCCAGTCTTCCTCATGCCATGAGACTTCCTGAGGAAGCGCACCCTTCACATGGATGAGGAAACTTTCTGAAATCACTCTTTTTGTTTCCTCTTTCAGGTAGGTGATGAAGTTTGTGAGGCAGTCTTGAAAGGCCAAAAACTCCTAAAGTGTCTCCCGAATGCCTGGGAGGCGAAGGTGGCCCTGGAGTTACGTAAATTGTCTCTGGAGATTGAAAAACTGGAACAAGAAAGACGCAAAGAGGAAATTGCTTGAGGCTTTCTCTTGGATACATGCTCAGGAAAGAAGCTGCAGTATCAATATACTTCACTGTGCAGGAGAGTTCTCGCCACACTCACATAAAATACAGTATTTTTTACCCTACTAACTTCTACAGTTGTGACTTTCTTATTCTTTGATTGGCTGTAGGAGCTATAGTGATGCTTATTCCTGATGCTGCTAACTCATATCTTCTCTCTTTTTGCTTCCTGACCAGTCTGCCTTGGATTTACCAATTTTATTGATAAATGTTTTATGGCTTAGAATGTGGCACTTGCTCAATATTCCATGTATTCTTGTAAAGACTGTGTGTTCTGCTGCCGAGTGGCACTCCCTATAAATGTCAGTTAGATGGCTCCAGTCTCCTCTGTCCTGGCTGATTTTCAGTCTATGTGTTCTATCAATGATTGGAAGAAGGGGTATCAAAATCCTCTTTGTAGGTTTGTCTATTATTTCCTGCAGCTTTTAGTTTTTGCTTCATATATTTTGAAGTACTATTATTAGGGGCATTAATGTTTTGAATTTGTATCTTCTTAATAACTGACCCTTTTTCATTATGTAATAAACTTTATCTTTCATAATGTTCTTTGTTCTCAAATACATTCAAACATAATTTGGTTGATATTAATATAACCCCTTATCTTTTATTTTTTTGTAAATTTCTAGGATAAATTTTGAGAGCCAAAATATATAAATTTCAGTAGCTACATTTAAAAAGTAAAAATAAACATTTGAAATTAGTTTCAATAATATATTTTATTTAACCCCAATTTTTAAAATAGAATCATTTTGATATGTACTCAATGTGAAAATTATTAGCATTATATTTAACATTCTTTTCTTAATACTACAGTATATATATATATATATATATAGTATATATATATGCTGTATATAAATGCAGTGTATATATATACTGCATTTAAGTATAGATATATTTAAATTACAGCACATCAAAATTTGAACTAGCTGTATTTGAAATACTCAATAACTACATGTGGCTATTAACTATATTATACAATGCCATTCTAGATTTTCCACAATGTGTATGTTAACAAGTATTAGTATACCTTGCAATCTGGAAGCTGTAAAGAAGAAAAGTGCAGAGAATGAAGCACCAGGTACAAGACATGAGGCTGTTTCTCTGTGGGTAAAGTATGCAATATTACAGAAATACTAGTACTTGAAGTTAAGGAGTAATTGAAATGCAAAGAACTCAATATGATAATTACTGCAGCTCTTGAAAATTCACATAGTAATGGTATGCTACTAAAACTTTAACTATTGAGTTCCTGATTTGGAAACCATTTATATGGTTGTTTACAAAAGTGAAAGTCTTTTATCCCAAGCCATATAGAATGGCGCTTTGTGCTATAGACACTAGTGCAGATTTGGGGAACTAGAGATGATACAGGACATATCTCAGGCTTCTGAAGGGTCCTATGGGAGTGGAATGAGTACACTGCATGGACAGAAAGGAAGAAAGCCTGAGGAAGCCTGAGGTTTTGAAAAGGAAGATCTGAGGCCTGGGTTGGAGACTGCCCTTTTATGACAGATGGCAAAAAATGGCCACAGATACTTCCTGTCTTTGTATCTACATCTGTAAGAATCCCTTCAGTTTGAGGTAGAGGCTTTCTTCATCCTTTGAGTTTGGGCCACTTTGTCATTTGCTTTGGTCAATAGGACAGAAAATAACAAATATGATATAAGCGGAACCTTGCAAATCACTTTGTGCATTAGGGTTCCCCTTGTTGCTGCTCTTGAAATCCTATGTCCACCACCGTGTGAATAAGGCCAGGCTATCTTGGTGGCTGATGGAAGATATATGCCCCTTCTTTGTCTCAGCTGATAGCAGATATGTGAGGCCATGGAAACTAGCCAGCCTCCAGCCAACTCACCAACTGACTACAGGCACCTCAGCTGTGCTAACTGAGACCAGCTGAGCTTGAACCATATCAGAAAGACTTCCCAGAAGGATCCTTGTTTATAAGGAGTTGCTTTAGGTAATTACATTTTGGGACTGTTTTGAAGCAAAAGGCAGTCAAAAAGGTCTTTTAATTTGCTTGCAGTTTGTAAAACTATGCCACAGAAAGGATTAAAGTTATTGGCAGTCATGTCAAGTTATCCACACCAGGCATCTTGCAGGCAGGGCTTATTATACATGGGACAGATTCAGCTTACAATGGACTGATCTAGATTTTGAAACATGAGATTATTCCTTTATTGTTGTTTTGTTGAGGTGGACATTGGTCTGGCTTTTGTGGTAAATGCAAAATGACAGAAACTTTGGAGGAAGAGACTGAGGTGTTCACCCAAAGCATTCTTTCCAACACATGAGAGTAAACCCTGACTTGAGTGCAGATGGAAAGGAAGTGTAACAGAGGCTTGTTCTCCTAATGCTGCCATAGACCATCTGATACCAAGAGCCGTTCTCTGTAATGGTGTGAGAGAAATGTGTGAGTGACTGTGAGCGAGCCATGAGTGACAGTGCAGACTTCTCCATGGTCCTAATGAATCAGGCCAAGCAAGGAAGCAGGAAACAGGCAGGCTTACAGAGGCACTACAGGCAATGCCCTGCAAGAACAGCTGTTCAGGGTGAGGGTGCTGAGGGTGATAAGGATATATCTCAAAATAATAGTTATATTTTGTCTTCTTCCAATTTATCGGAGAGAGAACCATGTAGTACATTTGTCAAATAACAAATAATTCTTTGGAGCAAGGTAGCCATGGATAGAGAAAATTGTTATCAGGAAAAGTCAGTCAGAGAGGATGTTTACTGTACTTACAAAGGTTATATATCTGAAGCACAGGTCATCAGAAGGGACCCAGAGTACCCAGCCCAGTCTTGGGGGAAGAAATGAATCAGGAAACTAACATGATACCTTTAGAAACTGTGCAGCCTAGGGATAAATTTAACCAAGGACATGAAAAACCTAAAACTATAAGACTTTGAGGAAAGAAATGAAAGAAAACACAAATAAATGGAAAGGTATATTGTGCTCATGGATTAGAAGAATCAATATCCTTAAAATGTCCATACTATTCAAAACAATCTACAAACTCAATGCAATCCTTAACAAAATATAGGACTAGAGCAAGTTATTTGAAAATTTGAATGGAACTACAAAGGACCCAGAATAGCCAAAGAAATCTTGAGAAAGAAGAATAAAACTGAAGATATCATACTTCCAGACTTGGAACTATAAAATTATAGTAATCAAAATAGTATGATTTTGTCACAAAAACAGACCCATGAATCAGTGGTACAGAATAGAATCCAGAAATAAAACCATGTTCATATGATCAATTAACTACAACAAAGCAGGCAAGAATATTCAATGGGGAAAAGACAGTCTCTTTAATAAACAGTGTTGGACAACTGAAGAGCTACATGCTAAAGAATAAATCTATATAATTTTCTTATATTATGTACCAAAATAAGCTCAAAATGGATTAAAGACTGAAATGTAAGACCCAAAGCCATAAAATTCCTAGAAAAAACATAGGCAATAACACTTTGACATCAGTCTTAGCGATACTTTTTTGTATATATCTTCTTAGGCAAGGAAAACAAAATAAGAAATGAACAAATAGGACTACATCAAGCTAAAAAGCTTTTCATAGCAAAGAAAACAACCAACAAAATGAAAAGGTGAAAGTATATTTTCAAATGATATATTTAATAAGGGGTTGCTATCTAAAGTATATACTGTTCATAAAACTCAGTTTCAATAAAACAAAACGAAGTAGACGGACAACTTGAATAGACATTATTTCCAAAGAAGACATATAAATGACCAACATGAAAATATGCTCGGCTGGAAGGAGCCAAGATGGCGGAGGAATAGGACGGGGAGACCACTTTCTCTCCTCCAAATTCATCGAAAGAACATTTGAATGCTGAGCAAATTTCACAAAACAACTTCTGATCGCTAGCAGAGGACATCAGGCGCCCAGAAAAGCAGCCCATTGTCTTCAAAGGGAGGTAGGACAAAATATAAAAGATAAAAAGGGAGTCAAAAGAGCTACGGGCGGAGACCCGTCCCGGGAAGAGAGTCTTAATAGAGGAAGTTTCCAATCACCAGGAAACCCTCGCACTGGCGGGACTGGGGGAAGTTTTCAGCAATCTAACTGGGAGGAAAAATTAAACAAGGCCCACAGATTACGTGCCTAAAAGCAACTCCCAGCAGAAAAGTACCCCAGATGCCCGTACCCGCCAGCAACAAGCGGGGGCGGGACGGAGAGGAGCGGGCGGCATTGCTTAGGGTAAGGACTGGCCCGAAGACCCTGAGAGCAATCGGAGGGAGCTTTTTTAAACTGTGGGAAAGCAAGGGTCAAAATTAACAGGCCCGAACACACTGCCGGCGGTTCGCAAAACAAAGGGACTGAGAAAGTCCAGAGAAGAGCCGGCCCATCCCCGCTGGAGGTTGGAGGCAGGGGGGAGGGGAAAAGGGCAAACTCAGCCCCTGAGAAGCCACCCCCTCCCACACTGCAAACAGGCCCCCGGTTCCTATCTAAAGACTTCCTGAGACCCGACTGGCGGCGCGCGCGCTGGGGCCGCGGAGGGAAAAAGCGCGCCGTACCTGGGGAGAGTGCGCCCAAGCCTCTGGCTGCCTGGGCCGCTCGACGCGGAGGGAAAAGGCGTGCCGCACCCGGGGAGATTGCGCCCAAGCCTCTGGCTGCCTGAGCCGCTCGACGCGGAGGGAAAAGGCGCGCTGCACCCGGGGAGAGTGCGCCCAAGCCTCTGGCTGCCTGAGCTGCCCGCCGCGGAGGGAAAAGGCGCGCCACATCCGGGGAGAGTGCGCCCAAGCCTCTGGCTGCCTGGGCTGCCCGCCGCGGAGGGAAAAGGCGCGCCGTACCCGGGGAGAGTGCGCCCAAGCCTCTGGCTGCCTGAGCTGCCCGCCGCGGAGGGAAAAGGCGCGCCACCTCCGGGGAGAGTGCGCCCAAGCCTCTGGCTGCCTGGGCCGCTCACCGCGGAGGGAAAAGGCGCGCCGCAT